TCCTGCTGACTATATTACAAATACTTGTCAGAGAAGGCCTCTCTTAAGGACACATTCAAAGCTCTTGCACACTATAATCACTTGCATTGCATCATCTCATCAGCTGCTTCATCACACGAAAGAACCTGAACAGACAAGTTTCCTTGGTTAGTTCCCAAACAGGAATGCATCTCTCCTGACCAGAAAAGGGGATCTTCTCAAATGCTAGGTGTAGAATAACCCCTATATTGCATCTGTGAACCTGATTATTCATAAACTGGTCCTTTAGCCTTACCTACATCTCCAAATATTTTATGCGTAACAAAGGCCCCTGCAAACCAACTAATGGATAGAACAATCTGAGAAACTAATAGAACTGAAATGTTTCTACACCATATGAAGGGGAAATGTCTTTGAATACCCCTGCCAATACTGAATACTTAAAATAAGGAATTAGTTCATAATAGAACTGACAGGTCTCAAAATCCAGTATCAAAATACAAGACTTGTGAAGCATGTGGGCTGGGATGTAACACAACAAGAAATTCTGCCCACAAGAACTGAAAATAAATTTGGAGGAACTCCTAAAAAACAGAATTCCAGTAATTATTATATGCAGCACGTTTTTGTCTTCAGAATATTACAGTTAATTAATGTATCTTTAAAAAAGTGACTTAAGATAGGCTATTTACAGAAATAATGCTGCCTACACAACAGGTATGTATAACACACTCAGGAGATGGTTCATAAAACAGGGCTGCTATAAACATACCCTTATTAAGTTGCATGTAAGTATCTAATCTGATTATATCAAAACAGAACTGTAATTGCAGGAAAGTAATGTCATCACCATTTTTACATTACTACTGGAGGGTATATTAGGTAACATATGAAAAGACAAAAATATAGTCCTTCTACTGGACTCCATCTGATCCTTCAGCAAGTTCCTCAACTCACCTATATAAAAGATCACATTAACCACAATGGGGCTACAAGATGTGATCAAAACTAGGAACTTTCTACCTTACTGAGGTCAGTACTCCAAACCCCTTATGACTACTTTTTAAGCCACCAGAAAGTGTATACAACAGCAAATAAACATACATACATAAACACACTGCCATTTGTGTATGTGTTGCATTTGGACATAGCTTTCATAGCACGTAAACACTATAATAACTCAACTTTAAGGCCCACAGAAGACAATTATCACGAAAAGGGCAAGAGCATTTGTGCGGTTTAAACAAACTGTCAGAGACACAAGACAAGAGTACTCTCTTACTAGAAGCACTTTTAAAATCACACCATTATTCTGAACTTTCAACTTTGACTCTCATTGCATAGCTATGTAGCAATACTGCCTCAGATTGTTACCAAATGCACCCTTAAAAATCTTTATTATGCTTGGTGTTCAGCCAACTTCAGCGGTAGTGCAGATTCAGAGATGGTCATTCAGAGTTTTCCCTGATCTAAAAATTACTAACCTGAAATCTGGGGGTTTTTCCCCCCCTGAATATAAAGAAATATAAAATATACAAAAGTTTCACACAGGTAATGATGCAATTTGCACTGCAGGTGTACTGTAGTGTATACAAAATATTATTGACTCACCCTCCTTCACTTTCGGCCTCCTCAGAGCTGGTAGTTTCTGTTGCACCAGGAGCTGCCTCAGCTTTTCTCCGCTTCGTTGCTCTGTGTGATGGGCTAACTTTCTGAACGTCTCCCCTCCCTTGAAGCTCATTTCGAACAAGCTCTTCAAGCTTTGGAATAGCTTCTTTCAGAAATTTCACCTCTCTCTTCAGTTCATCCACACTTACTAGCAAGCCATTCAATTTTTCTAGCATCTGCAGTTGCCTTCCGTGTAAAACCATTACTACTCCTTGTTCATTAGAAGCTTCATTTTGTAAGCCCACAGAACTAAGCCTGTTACCTACATCTAGGAACGCAGGTATACGCACAGCTGCACCGGGTTTTCGGATCTTACGGTACCAAATCAGCATCAGGCTTATTCCAGCAGTCCCTGCCATTATGCCCATTATTAGTCCTTTATTTTCGAAGGGAGACATTTCTGCACTCTCCTAAAATTGTGAGACAACAGTAACAGTCAGAGTTAAAGATGTTTTTCCTACTCTATCCAAACGACTTTGCTTTTAAGTCACAAAAGCGTAAGGCTAGAATAATTGGCGCAGGCTGCAGACACAAAGTACAATGCAACTCCAGCAGATTCTGCAATAAAAAGCGATGTGCTGTGACAGCAAAAACACGACAGTTGTGGGTTTGGGGGGCGGGCTGAGGCGAGAACGAGCACACACTTCTGCATCGGCACGTGCGCAAGACCGCAGCCTTCACTTTTAACCTTCCCGCATTTTAGGATTTTATTTTGTTTTAATGCGAGAAACTCCTATAATCGGATTTTCCTCAACAGCAGAGCGGCGGAAACCCAGCTGTCAGGCCGCAGCGCAGCCCGCGCCGCCCGGAGGGGTGTCTC